TTCTGTTTCTGTCCTATTTCCCAGAGCCTTAATCTCAATAACTATCTATCTCTCAGCCTTAATCTCAATAACTATCAATCGAAGTTGGTCAAAGAATGCCTAGAGAAGCTGAACAAATCAGGCAAAGAAAATAAAGCCACCCCACCAATAATAGCTCTGTAAAGCCGTCTCAGGGACTGGATTTTGACAAAGCTCTGAGACTGTATGATGAGTTATAACTCAAGACAGAGACTCAAGAAACCCTCTCTCATACAATTGACTATCTCAATATACTTTTCTTGGTCTTATTTCTGTAGTTTTATGACGTATTTTTGACTAGCATTAAATTTCTTTAAATTCAGATAATTTGTTATTTATATAAAGCTCGCAAAAATGCATATTTATTGCAATAAAATTGCAGTCTTAAATCTGATGGATAGCTGGTTCTGTATAATAAGAGTCCATATGCGATACGTTTAAGTAAAAAGATGATTGTTTTAATACAAGATTATTTTTAGAGTTGTCGGTATTTTAGCACCTTCAGACTACGCTTGGGAATTACGTTGTTCATTTACATCGCTACTTCAAGAAAAGCTATTTCAACAGTAGCTAGACCAGCGAAATAAAAAGATATAAAATAAAATTAAATAAAATAAAAATATATTTCACACACTTCCTGTGTTTTATGATCTCTCATTCTGCTAATAAACTATAAACTACATAAGTGATATCATATTATAAAATCACATTTTCTCTCAAAATAGTGATAAATAGATTAGTATTCCATTTGAACCCAAAAAATCGTCAGATGTTTTACAAATTAACAAGATCTAGCAACCTTCCAACAGATGAAAAAGAATAAAAATGTCAAAAGCTCAGTTGTCACTGCATGAACCGCGTGTGTGTGGTTTCGAACAAACTAAATAGATAGAATTTAACTTAACTTGACCTATTTGGCACCGCAAGAGCTATTTAAAGCAATAGAAAGAGTGGAACACGTCGCTGGAACTTGTTGATTACTATAAAACTTGCAGCATTGCGCACAAGAACGGAAAAAGACAAACAGATTGATGTTATTTCGCTTCTTTCCTAATTCCTGGGACGGAACTATAGATATTAAAATTAATAGAACTAGTAAATGTCTCGAAAAAATTCACTGAGACAAATAATAATGTAAAAATTGAAGGTATCCAAGATATACGAAGCATGTATGAACAGCAAAATGCCAGGTTGTCACTTATTTATTAAAAAAGTTTATAAATTAGTAGGTATACCGGGTGTTGCATCGTCGGACGGGACATAGGAAATCCCATGTAAATTTTAATGGGGTCAGTTATTGGCTTCCCTAATTATTTTAGAGAATAATTCTATTTAGGTTTATTGAAGAGCACGTATGAATAGCCCGTTTACGAGTTATCGCCGATTTCTTTTTAAATATTTCTCCTTTCTTATGGCCCTGTATTTACTTATGAGCACCATTCAAGGTAAAAGATAACAGTCGAATAAAGTTGTCATTTCAGAAATTTACCTATTTAGTGCTTTATTATTATTGAAAACTCATTCCTAGATCGGAAATCTTAAAGATGTATTTATAAATACAAATTAATATGAATTGAATTAAAATAAAGAAATCAATTACAAGGTTAATTATAGAATTATTACAATATTCAATAACGTATTAATTTAGGTACTATTAAATTGTTAGAACTTTAGGATTTAAGAAGATGTTCAAATATTCCTCCATCGAATGCTAGACAATAACCCAGGCGATCATAAAATTCTCTTCTTACATTCGCTAGTTGGTAAACTGAAATTCTATTGCATTCGGCAGAAATAGCATTTTTTAACTCGTCTAGATTTGGGTATTTTTTATCCTTGTATATCCTGGTTTTTGAATAACCCCAGAGAAAGAAATCATTTGGCGAAATATCAGGAGACCTTGCTGGCCAATTTACTGTATGATTTAGGCCAATAACGTTTCCGTTAAAACTATTGTCTAAATATTTCCGAACAGCCAGGGTACTATGTGCCGGGCAGCCATCCATTTGGTACCAAACTTTCTGATTTTCACTAGCGGCATCATGTAAAGCAGGTAAAATACGATTTTCGCGTAGTTCCAAATAATATTCTGCATTTAAATTTCGCGTAAGAAATAATGGCCCGATAATATTGTGTCCGAATATCCCCGCCCAAACATTTACTTTCTGTGGATATTGCGTCCTTGTTTCGACAAACCTGTGTTGGTTTTCTTTGTTCCAATATCGATAATTTTGAACATTGGGTTCATTATTTAAGGTAAACGTGCATTCGTCAGTGAAACATATGTTTTTTTAAAAACAAAACGCCTGCCGCCGTATTTCGTCCCCATCTCGTAGCTCTTGGTGCTTTTCATATTTGAAGGAATAATATTTATGTCGTTTCAAAATTCGAAACGCTGTAGTGTGATCTATTCCTATTTCATCCTCAAGTTTCCTTGTGCTGATCTTTCCATCGTTATCTTCCACGCACAATAATACTTCCAAGTCGGTATCATTTCTTGCATCTTCTCTTTGTTCCTGCCTTGCTTCACATCTGCAGTTATTTGTTAGGGTACCTTTGGTCTGAAATCTCTGGATATTCCTTGCGATTGTAGATTTCCAGGTATCGGTCTATTCGGATACAGAGCAGCAAACATGTCCGACACCTTTTGATAACTATTTCCTTGATAATACCATTTAATCATCAATACTTTTTCTTCGGTAGTGTAATTCATGGCTAATATTTTCGATGTAGGTATGAGTTTTTAATAATAATAATAAAGCACTAAATAGATAAATTTCTGAAATGACAACTTCATTTGACAGTTATCTTTTACCTTGACTGGTGCTCATGGGTTTCAGTGCTCTTCAATAAACCTAAATAGAATTATTCTCTAAAATAATTAGGGAAGCCAATAACTGACCCCATTAAAATTTACATGGGATTTCCTATGTCCCGCTCGACGATGCAACACCCGGTATTCTTCTACTATTTCCATTTTTGTGCTATTAAAAAGTCTGTAATATTAGAATGTATACCTAAATACATTTTATGTATTTTTATTGGTAAAAAAATTATAAAAAAATTGCGAAATAATAATATATATTAATAATCTTTCGTCTATATACTGTCGTTAACAATAATTGATAGTAGGTCTGTCTCTAACGATCTTAACTTAATTATGAAGATTTTTAGTACGTATCAAGGTCTCGTTCAATTTTGATGACAAATAAACAAATAATATACGTATGTGTGTGTGTGTGTCTTAGATTACATCACAGAAATTCTTTTAACAATGATCAATTATATCTAATTAGAAAGAATAACTATGTCGCTCGTCGTGGTATTCTCTTTGTTTTTAGGTCTTTATAAATCATATCAGACGTAACATCTGTTTCTAGAATAAGGAAAATTTTTACTTAAAAAATAAAACTGAAGATATTATACTTGATCTAAAACTGCCAAATATACATATATTTGCGCTTATTTAAGAAACACCTGGTATATAGATGACAAAACTAATTATTGGAAAAAACTCTTTGACGTCCAAGAAATCTTCGAATAGTAGGTACCTAATGTATATCTCTCGTTGAATTGAATGCTTTAATACTGTGTGCATCGGAAAAATTATATAACCTCGTAAACAAGCTGTTTCGTTTGATGTTATTGATGCATCGTCGCGGTGACGTCAGGATATTGTGACGTGTCATTTAACATAAAGACGCAAGCCAGATGCATTTGCGATTTGTGACTAAAAATGTATATATTATTTAATAAGTTATAATAACCGGTTAAAAAATAATTGGGAATTTGATTTTTAATATTTTCTTTAATATTCTCTGTGAAGAGTTTTAGTATATGTGTTGGAAAAATTAAATAAATTTGTAAACAAACTGAATGAGTCAATTTGTTATTATTGTATTGTCGCGTCAGGATTTGGTGATGCGACGTTGTACGTCAAGAAAAGTACATAATCTCCGATTTATGATTGATTATAAATGATGAAATGAAATATGCTGGGAATAACCAAAAATAGAGTGGATACGACAAAAGACCCAGGTAATAGAAGTCATCCACAGAGTCAAATCCCTCAAATGGCAATTGGGCAGGACACCTGGCGAGAAGAACGGACAATAGATGGACAACAAAATACAACTTTTTGATCGACCTTAAACGGCACATACAATTTTGCTAACAAGATAAAAAAGTCAGTAATCCTTATGCACGTCTATGGTGTATAGTAACCTTCACCCTCAAAATTTCATTTGAATCGTTAAAAGCACTTGGAAAAAAATTATAATAAATAAAGAAAAATTAAGCTTTTAACCCCCTCTAGCAACGAAACAAAGTAGAATCGGACATATATCGATATAAAAAATATATCTTATTTTTATTTGAGGAATCTCCCCACGAGAGATAACACATATTTTTTTAAACGCCCGGTATATTAGAGGTATGTATCAGTTCATTGATTACAATTTGAGACCATTTTTTTAACAGGGTGCTCTTTTTAACACCCATGCTCTTCACGAAACACCCGAAAATAATTTATACAGAGTGTCCCAGAAATAAGTGCAAGGATTTTAACTGGTAGTATATTTCTGTCTCACAAATATGCCTATGAGGTTTTTTTGTGAAAAAGAAATTTGAAAATTTGGAATTTTTTTTAGGTATAAGTTAAAAAACGTAATTTCTTGATAATATGGCAACATAGGTGTAGATTAAATTACATAAAAGAAAATCCAGAAAAGATCCAGTGGTTTCCAAAATTTAAACAAAAAAGCATTTTTTTGGAAATTTTCAAAGTAAAATAACTCGGTTATTTTGGACTTTTTTGAAAAACGGTAAAGAGAAAAAATGTTTCTTTTAGCCAGATCTACCACCCCTAAAACACTTGGAATTAATTTTAGGACACCCTGTATAAGAAAAAAAACCCAGGAAATGTTACGTAACCGGAAATGAACCGTACCAAAACACCAGAAAAATACAAAAAAAACACTCACCTGAGGTACAGCCTCCTGTTGCTCCCCACTAGCACCCTCCTCCGCCGCTGTCGTATCACTAGCCCCAACCTTGTTCCTCCTCCTCCCCACACCTAACCCCGCGGCCTGCCCCACGGGAGGCAGGTGGTGATTGGTCTCGTGCACCGTCAAACTTTGCTTAATATCCGCCGTGAAATTACAGGCCGAACACTTGAACGCGCCCTGTCCGTTGTGGTTCTTGCAGTGCCTGTCCAGGTTCCACTTGTACGGCGTGCGGAAGTCGCACATGTCGCACTTGATCATCGGCATCGAGTGGTACTTCACGTGCTTCGTGTAGCGAGCCTTAATATGCGTGACGTAGGTACACTTTGAGCACCGAAAGAATTTTGTTTTTAGGTGTTCCTCGCGCTCGTGTCGGTTGAAGGCTGGCTTGCTTCGAGTGGTGAAGGAACACAGCGAACACTTGAAAGAAGAAGAGGGTTCTTCTTCAATTACATCATCAGGGTCGTTGATTTCGAGCTTAACGAAGACACTATCTACTGGGAAAGGTTTCTGGTCGGAGTTTGAGTCGCCGTGAACCATCCTGGAGTGTCTGAGCAGTTTCTGGTAGTGTTTCGAAGCGTAGAGACAGTGGGGGCACTCGTAGATCTTCAGCTTGTGGCCGTGGTCATCGCGTAGATGGTAGAGGTAGCGTCGCGGGTTCTGCGTGAAGAAGTCGCAGACTGGGCACGTGTAGTTGCGGCGCACTTTGCAGTCGGGCAGCGGCACTGTTGGCTGCTGCTCTTTGTCGTCGAGGGGGGGATAGTGGGGAGCGACGTCGGCGTCGAGGCTGGAGACGTCGTCGGCGTCGGACGGCGGAGTAGGAGCGTTGTCGTCGCAGAGGGCTGAGAGGAAGTGATGGTGCACCAGAGAAGGCGCTACTGACATGCTAACCCGCTCACCTGCAAACCGCAAAACAATAATAATTAATAAAAATATTTCAAAAGTTAATAATATTAATTGTTTATTATACAAGGTGTATAAAAAATAGTGTACCAAAATGTCCCAAACGTGAACCATTTTGTTCATATTTCGGAATGATAAAAAATATTCGGAATTACTTATTTGTTCAATATTATGGTTTTTATTTATTAGAAATAGTGTTTTTTAAACTAATGCATAAAATTTTAAAGAAAGAAATACCTAATTCAATATAATATATTGAAAAATAAAGATAATGCATCAGACAAACATTCTAGTAATTTCTTTCTTGATTTTGCATTAAACTACTGAAAATACTATTTATTTAAAGATTTTCTCTGTAGAAAATGCTTCTAGTAAAAATCTATTAAAAATACAAGATTTGCAAGAGTCTTCCAACAAGACCAAGCTGTCAAAGCAGAATAATTAATAAAAATATTTCAAAAATTAATCATATTAATTGTTTTATTATACAGGGTGTATAAAAAAAGTGTACCAAAGTGTCCCAAACGTGAACCTTTGCGGTCTTGCATTTTGTTCATATTTCGGAATGATAAAAAATATTCGGAATTACTTATTTGTTCAATATTATGGTTTTTATTTATTAAAAATAGTGTTTTTCAAACTATTGCATAAAATTTTAAAGAAAGAAATACTAATTCAATATAATATATTGAAAAATAGAGATAATGCATCAGACAAACATTCTAGTAATTTCTTTCTTGATTTTGCATTAAACTACTAAAAATACTATTTATTTTTTTTTATTGATTTTCTCTGTAGAAAAATGCTTCTAGTAAAAATCTATTAAAAATACCAGACTTGCAAGAGTCTTCCAACAAGACCAAGATGCCAAAGCAGACTAACTTACATGTTTTAACTCAAAAAAATTGGATCCACCAATCTTCTATCTTCTGTAGTACTTTAAAATATATATATATTTTTTTAATTGTCATAAAAGTATTAGATTTTGCGACGTGGTTAACAATATAAAAACGTCATTTTAACGCCTAAGCCTAGGTATAAAAGTAAAGCACTTTTACGCCTAACTAACGCCTAACTACAAAAGTACGAAAATATATTATTAAACTGATATAAAGTGTCAAATTCAACGAGCGTAACCATAGTTTCTAGATATCTAATTACATACAAGGTATTACTTTTAAATCTTTTCATATTATTTGTGGTAAAAATTATTTATGGCGTTTGAAAAAAAATAGCATGTTCTGTTCGGAGTAAAAATAACTTTTGTATCTCGCCTGTAATGTCAAACGTACAGCATCGCCCCAAAAAGTGTCTTTTTACTCCTAATAAAATAATATGCTATATTTTTGTTTACAATGTTTTAGAACTCCAAGAATTATCTGGAATATTATTAGATAGATGTATTAATTCAAAAAACACTTACCTAGTAACAAGTCCTTCTTAACTTTGTATTTTTACAATTCTCTATAATGATTAAATAACCACCTGAACAAATCAAATCGAAATTAAAAGGTAAAACAACAGTTATTAACACAAATGACAACCTCCGCAGGAAAAGTTACAATATCAGAACATATAAACGTCAAAATGACAAAGAAATGTAGAGTCTGAAATCGGCACAGCCACTTTGACACGCTAAATGACATTTAGAATAATCAATGGTTAATTTTAATTATATGCTGATGAATTCTGTGATTTTTATAGTTTTGTTAATATAACTGCAGCAGATATAGTTAAAATTATGTGTCTAGAAGTTGAAATTGTTTATAAAATTAGATTGTAACATCAGAGAGAACATCATTTTCACACTTCTTGGAATTTGATTGTTTAAAAAAAATGTCTGTGAGTTTCAAAATGATGATTTTTTAAAAATATCTGTACATTTTTAGGGGCATACAAAATATATGCTTGTAGATAATGCCTATACCTTTCTGGCGAGTTCATTTTGGTACAAATTGTACACAAAAGATAACCACACAATTTTGTTATTATATTGTGTTATTTTTTTAACAACAAAACTCTATAGGTATTCTCTGTTATCTTATGATCTCTAAACTTTTTAGTGTTACTCTGAACGTGTTCGGTCTCTATTTCTACGTCACACTGTGCCAATTCGAACATAAAAATGGGTCCATTTAGGCTGGGCATCCAAGAGGAAGAGAAATACGTAACCGGCGTTTATTTCATGGCCGAATTCCTAAAGCGTGTAATTATTTTAGTAATAAACAGATGCTCCTCTATGAACAGCAGTTGTTAAAACAATTTCTTTAGCCTTAGATTCAGCACAGAACTATCTATAACAAACACGCTACCGAAAAAATGGTTTTAATGAATTTTATAGATTTTTCTTCAATTTTTTTTGAGTCAAAAAATATCTTTTCAACATTTTTAATAATATACAATAGTGGATTGCCATTATTTCTGCCTGGAATATTATGACCATCTTTAGATAGGCTTACGTGCAAAAGTATTCCTTGAGAAATTCCTACATGAAAGAAATAGACCAAACCGTTTTTGTAACTTTTTGCAGTGGAAAAAAGTGATAGACTCCGCATATTTCAGTAACACAGAAACTTACAAAAGTATTTCAATAATTCCACTCATAATGTATGCTAATTATGTGAGCCAGACTCTTTACTGATTATAACATAGTTTTATCTGTCTTTTATTCTTCTATTCAATTCCATTGAAACAGGAACATAAAAGAGTTCAATTTGGTTACAGATAACACACGAATTAATGTATCTTCGTCGTTTTTTTCGCGACGAACAATATTCAGACACCGACCATTATCATCGCCGTATGTAAAAAGAAATAATTATCATTTATTATTCCATATCGTTATGTAAAAAGCTGTCCCGCTAAACAAACAGAACCGCTGAAGGTTACAAGACGCGAAGACCACTAATCAACAGTATACATATTTAGATTAAAGAGGATCATTTGTGAATATTTATTGATATAATGCTGGCGAAACAGACAATAATATACTTTAAGTATTGTCTAACGAAAAAGTATATGAGAGTTTGAATTCAAGGCCGTGACGGACGTGACGCACGAGCTAACGAATGGAAAAGTGGTAACGGCATTGTTGCCACAGCCACCGCATGCTTTTAATACCTACACAATAAGATTTGTTTGTGACATTTGACGTTGTATAGTATATGACCATAAGTGTTTCTAATACTAAAAATGTAATAATATACAGGGTGTTCCATTTAAAAAAATACAACTTTGATATTTTTTATTTATTTGGGACACTCTGTATCTTGTAAAAATATTTTTAAATTGTAGCTCTAATATTCTTTCAACGAACCCAAAACTTACAATTTCTAAAAATCTAATCGTTTAGCTACAATACTCCGTGTCGCATGTGGTGAACAACCCTGTATATAAAGGTGGGCAATGCTGTGCCGGTGAAGCTTAATCACGGGACTAAAAGTTTATTTGGTGTGAACTGTATGTATTATGTGAAATTTGTGTAATATTCTGAATAAAATAATACCAAGAAATGTATTTTCAGAATTGCATAAAGTCCTTTCATCGTAAAATTCTTATAAAATAATACTAAAATAAATAATATTAATTTCATTTACCGGGAATCAGACACATTATAATTATAATTTAAATGACTCACACCGACTTCTCTTGATTTCCTCTCGAAGAATAAAAACAACAATAATTTAAAAAAATGCATTTTTTTCATTCATATAATATTATTCACCCATATATGCTCCACATCGAAAACGCATTTATATGCATATAAATCTCGCGATGTTCGCTGTTTTTTTTTCGCGTCCATTTCTCGTGACCTTGATCGCGAACGTGAATCTGCCTTTGCACAGCCAATTGCACGGAGTTTTTTTTATTCGACGAAGAATGATAGGTTATATAACTCTCACTGATTCATTATTATTTACTGACGTGTATTGAAAAAAAGAGAATTAAAAAGAACAACGCCTAGCTGAAAAATTTGTACTACATTACTAGTCGTGAATGGTGATATTTATTTCAGATTACTATACAGGGTGTCCCAAAGTCGAGCCTCATCATTGGTACCTCAGAAACTAAAATTGTCACTGTACAATTCGACCGAGTCGGTACATCAAAGGCGTTCGCAAACGAATGGGTTAAGGTGTTTTCGTTTGGTTTTAAAATCCGGTCCCGTCCATACTACTACCGAACGAACGAATGAACATTCGTTCGTTCGTTCGGATAGTGAATACGCACCTTAATAGCATGGTCCCATCTCAGGCTCGGTCTTCTTCTAGGTCTCTTAATTCCTCGTAGGTATCATGCTGTAATTTTTGTTGGTCGTTCTTCTTGCCAGGTGTCCTTGCCCATTTTATCAATCAGGGCCCATTGCCATTTGAGGGATTTGGTTCTGTGAATGGCATTTATTACTTGGGACTTTTGTCGTATCCACTCTATTCTTCTACGACCTCTCATGGTTATTCCCAGCAAATTTTGTTTCATTGAAAGTTGTGCGACCTACAGTTTCCGTATTCAAAATATTTAATCTTTTAAAATGGCACTTTGATCGGCATCAAATAGCGTAACTTTGCTTCCATCGTATTTTTTTCTAGATTTCGAGATCCCAGTGATGAGGTTTGATTTTGAGACATCCTGTACAAGTAAATCGATACTAAGACAATTAAGTTTTTACATAAAAGAGCAAAAATTACTTCGCTACAAAGATATAGAAATTATTTTCATAAAAAAACTTAGTAATATTTTTTAATACCCACGAAAAAGACATATAAAAATATAAACTACCCATTGTTCTTTTTAATAAGAACTTTAAAAATTTCATGACTCAGAACACTAGGTATACGCCTGATGCATGTATTTTTTCACTTTCCTATGTGTATATTATTTTTTTCTGCGATCTTATGTTGCTGCAAATTGGTTAGTCGAAGACTTGGCAAATAAACAAGTCACATGCAGACGTACGAAAAGCGAGAGAGATGGCACGATGGAAAATCGTCAGTCATAA